GAGCTACACTGCGCATTTATTGTGCATCGCTCTCCCAACCAACCGTTACACTGAATAATCTCAACATTTATGGAAAATAGCCAACACTGACTCTAAAGAAAATCTTAAATAATTAGATACAATTCCATACATGATTCACAATTATGACAAAGTATTATGTCGTTGACCCAATCAGTATGACTTTGGAAAGATTGACGAAATGTTGATGATGGAGGTTGCTATTCATAAATTAGATAATGACTATTAGAAATCGATTTAATTTACTCCGTCATATAATACTTACCGAATAAAGATCAACTTCATCGTCGATTTCCCAATTTTTTACACCCACATCATTAACTTCATTACTGCTTTCAGTACTTTTATGAATTGATCCATTGATATTTGCAGTTTTTTTGTCTCGAAATGGTAGGTGCAAGTCCCAAGACGCTATTACACCGTCACGCCCAGCAGAGTAAAGAATTCCTTCTGGTTTACCAGTCTCCGGATTAACTGTAGTTGTGTCTAAAGCCAAAGAATTAATACCTAAAAGGTGACCATGGTCATCCTTATTATGAGTAATAACATAGGATACTCGACGTCGAGAAGCACGTCTCATTGAATAGATAAAATTAAATACAGATACGTGGTATTATAAATAAATAAGAACGGACTGATCGCGCTTTAAATTATATAAATATAGCATTTAAAAAAAAAAAAAAAATGAAGAGACGAAGTACCGGTATCGGATATGTACCCTTTGCATTCATTTCGATATTTAAATATTTTTGTTTAATGTGTGTGTAACATGTATCGTGTGTAACGTACGTATGTGTGTAACATGAATATGCAGATGAAATAACAAAATTTTTTATTTTTTTCGATAATTAAAGTTTAATTTATAAATCATATATCATGTACTCTGAATATGCTAGATTTGTTCGTAAATTTGTTTTCACGCCCGTAGGCCATCAATTTCAACGGATCTTACCACAAAAAAAGAATTTTTTAAACAGAGATAAAACAGTAAAACCATTTATACAATTGAATCGTGGAAAATTTATTGTGGCAGCTACAATTGGTGGAAGTACACTTGCAGTATTAATAAAATTGTACATAAATTTTTCTCAATACGATGTAATTTCACCTGATAAATTTATTCCTTTAACTATAAATAAAATAACTCCAGTTAATCATAACACGAGTATTTTTCGGTTGAAATTTCCGAAACCACTAAAAGAAACATTACCAATTACATCTTGTTTTCATATCAAAGATGATTCAATACAGATCGTTCGCGAGTATACACCCATATCTCCAACCGATGAAAGAAATTATATTGAATTTTTAATCAAGAGATATAACGAAGGATACCTATCACGATATATTCATTCCTTAAAGGAGGGTAATATTGTGGAGGTGAGAGGTCCAATATTGACCTTTCCTTATACACCAAACATGAAAACACATATTGGAATGGTTAGAGTTATTTTTCATACGTTGTTTATTATTATTATTATGAGTTTACGAAAACTCCTGATGAATACTGAAATAATTATTTTAATGATTAGATATGTGGTGGAACCGGAATAACCCCAATGTAAGAATTGTTAATTTTTACTAACAATGATTAATTTTTTTTTTTTAAACTTAAGCAAAGATATTATTTGTCATTCAGGTATCAATTAATCAAACATATTCTGTCTAATCCTGATGATAAAACAAAATTATATATGATATATGCAAATGTCACCAAACAAGATATTCTCCTTCTTCAAGAATTAGACCAATTATCTCAAGAAAATCCAGATCAATTAAAAATCTTTTACACTCTGGATCAACCTCCTGACGATGAATTATGGACGCAAGGAGTTGGATATGTATCTCAGAAAGCAATTAAAAACCATATCCCTGGACCTCAAGAAGACGTGCTTGTACTCGTCTGTGGACCAGATGGGTAAAATATTTACAAATCATACTATTTTGTTACTAGTTTTTTCTTTATTATTGATGATGTGAATTTTAGGATGATTCGATACGTAAGTGGTGACAAGGCGAGAGATTTATCGCAAGGTCCTGTTGGTGGTATATTGAAAAACCTTGGATATAAACAGAATCAAGTTTTTAAATTTTGAAATAAGGCCGCACAAATTTAATATCTTGGTTTTCATAACATGAAACTTTTAAACATATATAAAATTTTATAAAATTTTTTTTAAATTTTTTTAAAAAGCCTACCCGGTTATTAAAACATAAAAAAAAATTTTTTTACAAGATTTCAAATTTTGACCCGGCCGGGTTATGAAAACCAATTAACTAATTTTGCATGGCCTAAGTGGTAAAAATCGCCATTTATTATTTAATGCATAAATTTAATCATGAATTTCGCATGAGAAGCTGTAAATCATTCTCTCGTCTTATTTTTGAACAAGTTGGGATGATAGCTAATGCTGTAATGGCTAGAGATTGTTCTATATAATTGCAATAGTTGATGAAATTTCACGATATAAATTTTAAGAACAAGTTTTAAACTTGTAAGCATTTATAAAATACCGTGAGAAATTTCTTTAACATTAAACAATGCATAAAATATAGGGGTCGGTTAAAGCGGAGCGAATTCAATATATGATCTACATACTGCATATGTTGTATTCTTGATATCTA